GTGTTTTGCTAGCTCACAATCATCATAATGGAAATTTTTACTAGTGATTTATTTGAATAATGAAGGAAAAGTGGTTTTGACATCCATAAAGGATGGTTGGCCAAGGCGCATATAATAAAGTTAGTTTTTTTTTTATATTTAATTTAAGGGTTTCTAAAAGAAGAGATAATACGGAAGGTTATATGAAGTTTTTTTTTGAATTATTGGGCTGCTGAAGGTGTTAGAGACCATTTATTTTTTTAGCAAGCCTAATTATCTTCCTTTGTGCCGTATTCATGAAATACATATAGGAAGGATAAAATGCAACATTGTATTTGAAATCTTTAAATTTTGAATGAAATCCGTACTAGTTAATATATTAAGTATGTGGAAGACATTTCAAAGTGAGTGATTTGTTTATAAGAATATATTCTTGATTGGCTATGATTGTCAATGATCTATTGACCATGGTTATTTTCTTATTACTATGGCATGGTGGTATATGAAATAAATTTTCGGAGGAATTGATTATATGAATTATAGCTCTTGAACCATCTAAGAGCTAGAAACGAGTACATTCGATACTTAAAGTCATTAGGAGAGGAGATATTACTTAGAATATTTTAGTACAAGTAACCATTGTAAATATTTTTTAATCGCTCCCAGCAATCCTTTTTTTGTCTTTCTGTGCCTAGTAAATGACCAATTTATCATCTTCCCTTTGAGGATTGGCGAACTAACCACTATAATTTTACATAGTTCTTTCCATTCAATATGTATATTGAATGGATGTTTTGCTACTTGTGGGCTCTAAAAATTCGGCCCCGGCCTCCGCCCGCTTTTATTTTTATTCGGTGAGGGAGTTTTACTGATAAGTTCTGAGATAAATTTTGGAAGGCAAATGGGTTTGTAGATAAGACACTACCCATAGATTTCGCCCTCATTTTGTGAGGACTTTATAATCTGAGTTCTGTTTTCTTATAGGTGCAAGCCCCTATAGTTAATTACCCCTCCCGATAATGAGAGAGAACTTTCAATTAAGGCTAGTCATCAATCAGATACGTAGAGTATACGTGTTATCTGGCATATAGTAGTAGCATTAGGTTTGGGTATTTAGAAATTGTGTTTAAATTTGAGATTTTAATATTTAAAATAGAAATTTTTACCATCTCACACTTAAAGCAGATGGTGGGGAATGTATGATAAACCCGATCAAGATCCCATGGTTCTGTCGTACCGGGCCATCGTGGTCCTTGTTCTACTTAGTCAGAGGTAGTCGACCCAACCTGATAGAAGGATCCTTGTCGGCAGCCATGGGTTGTTCCATCCAAGGGGATCTTGTAGACCTGAGATGAATGTTTGTCTAAAGGGACAAATTTGAATTCACCTTAGCTAACAGAGGGCATTGTGCCCTATCGATCATATCATATTGATTCATATCTCAAGGATTTGATGCCACTAAGGAACGTATTGGCTCTGGCCATAACCGGTATATGTGGTGTCATTTGATGACAAAATTACTCAGTTCAGAGGGTTCCGGGTCATAATCGTTTATCATGCGGTGCCATTTGGTGACAAACTGCCGATTTGAGGACAAGTACCAAGTTCTTAATGGCAATAGATTGTTTGAGAATGGATCCTAGTGATATTTTTGATTATGCATTAACTCTTTGTGAGCTGAAGTAAATTTGAATTTGTCTACCTCGGTAGACTGTTGAGAATGGTGGATGGGCTTTGCTTTAAGTGTTTTATGGTTGGATTTCTGTTTTAAATATCTAGGATTTAAAATTTGTTGAGTTTTGGACTTTATGGAGTTTTGGATTATGGGTATTTGGGTGGAGCTTGAAAGTATTTATGAACCCGTCCGGTTGAGATTAAAATTCAATACGGCCATCATCGGGGTGATTGAGTGCATTTTCATTTGTAGTTTGAATCTTGTTAACTCTGTCTGAATGTTGACAGAGGATCGGGTTTCCAGGCTTTATGCCCTTGTGAGTGAATTTTCTTAATTATAGGCCTTGAAGGCATGATATGAATGTATTAAAATAAATACACCGGTTCCCACAGTCGTGTATTTGTTTGAAGGTTCGAACCTTGTTTACTCCTATTAATCCGTATAGAAGGATCGGGTTTAAACTAGAATTCACTTGTCGACCCACGCAGCATCCCTAGACGTTACGCGTGTACCAATAACACACTCGCCGGGGCACATACAGGTGTTTGGGGGCATTTTATAATTGAACCCTGTCAACTCCTTTTATCTACTTAGAAGGATTGGGTTCAAATTTAATAACCCGCACAGCATCCCTAGACGTCACGTATGTACCATTAACACACTCGTCGGGGCCCATGTGAGTTTAGTGATTGCATATCCCCTCCCCTTTTGTGTATCTATGTGCATACAAATTACGATGCATGTGCAAAGGGGTATTTATTTAAGACTTTGTTGATGCCTTCTGTCTGCTTGTACAAGGGTTGCAGATCCGGCGGCGTGGCGTAGCAGCTCCTGAATAGAGTTATTCGTTGCTTTGTACAGGTGGACTGTCATGCACTACTTGCATGATTTACGCAGGTAGATTGTAGCGCACTAACAAATCTCCTGCTTTGGTTATAGGAACTTGCACTTGTTGAATCTCTTCATACATGTTGTTCATAGATGATATGTGATATTTATAGCGGGGCTCCAACAGAAGCTCATGGGAGTTTGTATCTATCGTACTCTTTATGTACTTTGTTGTGATATTTGGCTCTTGTAGTACATCTGCCACTATTACAAGTGGGCAGGTAGATGTATTCCTTCACAGATTGAAATTGATTTTAGGATACTACATTTATTGAAGTCTTTATGGATCTACCCATAAGTAGCATGTGGCACGCACATTTGTCTTTGTAGAGAGCTTGTATGTATTGTAGATCTTCTTACGACAACTCGTGAATGTTTGTATTTGATGTGTATCGTCCTCCTTTACTTGAAATGGACTTGCATATTTGTTGACTATTGAATGGTTATCCTTTGTATTTTATTGTATCTTGATGCTAAATATGTATATGTATATGTATTTGCAAGGAACCCACCATCCTTGTAACTTATTAATCATCATTGATTACAATTGGATAGCATCATTCATATGCGAGCTGTATTGGTGTCACACACTTCAAATACCTCTTGGTTGATAGTTCATCACTACTTTGATCCACGAGCCAGTGGTTGTATGCATGAAGAGTCTTATATCATTGCCTCACATTATCATATTTCTCGTTCAATCGTTGCATGGATATCAACTTGATTGGAGAGCTTGAGTCAGTTTAGTTTGATCACTCCTTTCCCCAATTGATGACTCTTATTGAACATACATCTTCCATTTGATATCAATTGAGTAAGCATGAATGTAGATTGATACTTGGATGATGATCGTTTGCTTGCTATTTGATTGCCTTTTCATACACATATTGGTTATATATTCCTTGTTGTCCCTTCCAAGCATCTTTCTCCACTGGCATAATTTTCATGAATAGAACACGACTTCTATTGAAGGTTTCGTAGATTTGCAGTTCCACTTACAATCATTTGAATGCTATTGTTAAAGGGGTTCCAAGTCAAAGTGCAAGTACCTTTATTCATTTGCATAGGGCTTGAATGACATCTCCTAATTAACACTTGTATTCAAAAATAAAAATTCTCTAAAATTTCATTAAAATTTTATGTCATTATCAAGTTAGGCTCATGTTCATTTCTCATTTGGATTTGCAAGCTTATAAGTCAAAACTTACAAGTTATTTTGTTTATGTTCAAATCAAGTCCACATAATGTATGAATCAAGTTCAAAACTTATGTCAAGTTTATAGTCAAGTTTTAATTCAAGTTTTCATTTAGCTCATTTGATGTTCCAACCAAATTCAGTCCCAATTCATGTCATTGTTTGAGTTCAAAGCACAAGTTCAGCTCATGTTCACAAGTCTAGCTTGAGTCTAAGTCTCCTGTGGTTCGAGTTCTTTGTCAGCTTCAGTCCACATTCAAGTTCACTTTTGTTCGTTCATATGGCAAGTTTAGGTCCTTCTCACTTGGTTCAAAACAAGTTCAAGAGTCTCACATGATCTTGTTCAATTCAAGTTCATTTTTATCAAGGTTTGAATTAAGTCTTTTAATCAATCATTCACATTTGCATTTAGTCACTTTAATTGTTCAAAAAAAGTCCAAACAAAGTCCACTATTTGTTCCAAGTCCTTATCTTATTTCAGACAAAATTTCGGCAGCCTCCCGGCGTCTCCTCCGTTTAGGGGAAAAACCAAGAGGCCGCCTACCCACCACGTCAATAAAGACGTGCACGGTTCGTGTTTGTGAGGCACAGCGGCAGTGATTTTTAATTTTTCATCCACTACGCCAATAAAGGTGTGCATGGGGTTTTAAAAAGTATTTTTTTTTTGAAAAAGCAGTTTTTGACGGTACTTTCTAAAAAAAAAAAACAGTTTGCTTTCCCGCCGCTCGGGGGTACTTATAAGTGATACCGCCTCGCTGTATGTGTCGCATCAGGGTCCCATCCCACCATGCACAATAAAGACGTGCATAGGCGATTTTTCGGTTCACCACGAACATTGAAGTAGGATTTTTAGGTGATCACCCGCCTCATTGTAGGCGCCGCACCGGGGTTCCATCCCACCACGCGCAATAAAGGCGTGCATGGACGGTTTTCCGGTCCGCCACTAACTTCGAGAGTGATTAATTATAAATATCTTATAATAAATAATTATAATTATAATTAATTAATTATGATTTTTTAATTAATTATAGTTAATGATAATTAATCAAATTTAATTATTAATGATAATAATTAACTATGATTAATTATAATTAATATTAATTAATTATAAAAATTATAATTAATTATATTTATTTTATAAGACAAATTATAATTAAAAAATAATTAATAATAATAATAATAATAATGATAATAATAATAATAATAATAATATCATAAGAATTAAAACCCTCCTAATCTCTACCTATAAGAGGTCGGCTGGGTTCGGCTATGGGAGGAAGAAAGAAGGTAGGTCTTCTCACTCACTTCCTCTTTCTCTCTCTCTGCATTTGAAGAAATCGGGGCTGAGGAGGTCGGCGGCACAGGAGCTCTCACGATCGGAGAGCGAGGTTGAGCAGCACGGAGGAGGTCGGAGGTCGGGGAGAAGAAGAATAGAGGGGATTCGCGTGTGGAGATGTCGGGAATGGAAGAGATTTGCGAACGTGAAGAAGCACTGGAGGTGTCCGGTCGATTGGCTTTTAAAGGCGTTGAAGAGCGACGATCGAGAGCGGGATTCATGCAGGAATCACGGGGAAGCGATGGATTCGGCACCGTTTGCAGGTTAGCGGGATTTCCTGCAGTTTTTATGGATTACGTGGAAAATCTCCTTTTTTTTTTTTTGTTTGGTGTTGTGGTCAACACTACTCTTCCATCGGACTTAGATTGCATCCCTCAATTCCAAGAGAACCTGAGACAAATGATATGTGGATATTATTATTGGCTTTCTTGAAGAGAAAAATTGTGGTTCTATTCACGAGAAAAAAATAAGGAAATGAAAGAAATGCAAAAATGCAACGATGAAGGCTACAACAATGGGATTAATTTACGGTATTGTAGCGATGAAGGTTGCAATAATGAGAAATATTTGTAGCAATGCAACGATAAAAATGAAAATTATAGAAAAATAGGGTAAAAAAACTAGCGTAACAATGAAGGCCACATGGTTTTGTTAACTCTGTGATGAAGGTTTTTGTAATGGAAAGAGAAGGAAAAAAGCCTGAAAAAGTTTTGAGAGAATTTGATGAGTATTTTATTCCAACATTTGTGTAATATTTATACAATTTCTGGAGAGTTTCTTTTAGGAAACATGCATTATCTGGGAGAGTAATTATATAATTATTAATATAGTCTACTGATTCAAGAGCTGGCAAAATAGTCGTAATAATCCACAGATTAATTACTAGGTAGTAGGGATCTGATGTATCAATGAGTTTGTAGTGAAAGATTAGAAAAGAGGTCAGAGATTTTATTGAGCATGGGCAGAAATTATATAGGAGTTTCATATATACATCTGTAAGCAGTTCTCTATATGAATTGCACTAATAGTATAGATTTCTTGGTGTTTCGCTTTATAATGTTTTTTGTTCTTATTCTAGGCTGCCGTATTTTTAGTTTCTTTTGCCTAGCAGATTTTTGGAATGCATGGAGATGAATGATTCAGAATATGATTGAAGTAATTGGTACAATTGGCTACTTCTGATCACTATGGTGCTAAAATTTTCTTCAACATTCATCACCATGATAATTCATTGAATTATGCTGTACTTTTTTAAAACATTGCTTGCTACTTATTAGCTGAAACTTAAATTGTTTGTTCTGGAAATTCACTTTTATTCTGATACACTTGTTAACAAACCTGTCGGTTCTTTCGCTAAATATGTATTGTCTCCCAGGTGAACTTATGATGCTAATGTCTTCCTTTACTGACAGTGGAGATGGTCCTGCCATATTGAAATTGGTAAAATGGGACCATTTGCCATATCATTTGAAGCCATCGGAATTATCTGAAGTTTCCATCTCTCCAACAAGGAACTTGTTGCTGTTGCTTTCATATCAATCTGAAGCATTATTACTTCCACTAACTGCTGGTACCATTAATGGTTTGGTTGTCTTTATTGTTCTTATAGATTTTTTCATCTTATAGTAATTTCTTTATCATTATATTCTGTGCTATCAGGATTGCGTTCTTTCTATTATTTAAAGGATGGCGCTGACACGTCTTGTCATCTAGATCATTGCCCGGTACCTATCATTTTTACAGAATTTCCAACGTCTACTCCAGTTACAGTAAAAAATCCTACAGAAAGTTTTGAAAATCCTTGTGAAGTTAGTTCTGCATCATTTGGTTCTTGTGCTTTAATCTCAAATGTCAAGTCATTTGCATGGGGCCATTACGGGGATTCATATGGTCACTTTGAACAGTCTGATTTTAGGGAGTTTCTCCTTGTTTGCACTGATGATTGCTTTACTTTTCATTCATTCCGTTATCCCAATAAAGGCTATCAAGGGAGCACGTTTGTCAAGGAAAGTGGACCTTTCAATGGAAATTGGGTGGAGTGGGGGCCGTCTTCTAGCATTCACACCAAAGAGAAGTATCTAGATGTTGATGGATGTGAAAATAAGTTTGGAGATGATAAATACTATAAAACTACGTTGGAACAGAAAAAGTGGCTCCAAACGTTCCTCACAGAAGTGGATGCTTCTTGGTGTGGTAATAAGTACTTGGCTAAATTTCCTATAAAATCCTCATACCCCAAGTCTGCAGCAGTTTTATCATTTGATCTTAGTTCTGCTACCATGAAATTTTTGGAATCCTGTCTTACAACTCATCCATTTGATGAGACAAAGAGTGATCCTGAGATTCCGGTGAGTGCAGTGCATAATCCACCTTTACCTGATAATCAAGCCAGTCTTCACTCTGCAGCTGGTTTTATAGGCAGTTCATACAAATGCTCTAGAGTGTTTTCAGGCTCCTTACACAACCAACTTGGCCTTGTGTTGACAAGTCCAGAGCATGTGATAGTTGAAAATGAAGTACATAAAGGAGGAAACGTTATCGTTGTGGTAATTATGTTATACTACTGGGGAGTAGAGTGGGTCTGTTCAATAGATCTTGAAAAGCCGTATCATGGTCCTGGCCCAGGTTACGAATGGGCAGACTTCCAATTCTTAGATACTTTACTTGTTTGTCTTAGCACTTCAGGTTTAACCTGCATTTGGTGTGCTAAGACTGGTAACCCAATTGCAAGTTTTGATGTTGTTGAAAGCTGTGAGGTTAATTTAAATGTTCGGTCACAGTTAAACCAGCTGAAGACACCAGAAGCTGATAGTTGGAGAGGTGAAAGCATGAGAAATTTTAAGAGCTTGATGGTGACTCCATGTTCTTTTCTATTAGCTGCTGCTGATGAACACGGCGTGATCTATGTGGTTGATGCAGATGATCATATCTCAGGACATCTTCGAAACAAAATTATTTCTCCCTCTCAGGATTCTGCTCTTGGCGTGCTGGCTAGCTGGGATGTTGCCGGAAAGGGGATAGGTTGTCAAAAAGTTTTTGCTGATATTTCCAACAGTCTATGTTTAGATGGTTCAGGAATTTCAAAAGGAGATTTGACAGGCGACAAACAAGGCTCTGTTATCCTTCCAGGGAAATGGGTAAGAAAGCGAATCAATGATAAAGAGAACGGTTTGGAAGGCTATATAAGTGGTTCTAATATTCTTTCAGAAGTAAAGGATCACCTAGAAATTTCTCACTCTAAAAAGAAAGGATTCTCAACTCCTATAAGGAGATTACATCTGCCACCAAAGCATAATTGCTCCAAGGATTCTGTTTGCTTTTCACCTTTTGGAGTAACTAGATTGCTTGGATATTATGGTAGAACAGGGGAGAAACTTTACAATTTTTTTCATACTGATTTACATGTTTCTTCAACTGTTGCTGATGACAGAAATTTGGATAATTTCTTGCTCTACAAAAGATGTTTTAAGAAGGATGTTTTTGTTGGAGAATCTTTAGGATTCTCCTTCAAGGGGAATTTGTATGTGCTGACTCAAGAAGGCCTCTTTGTCATTCTACCATCAGTTTCATTCCCATGTATTGTGCCCTCAATTGAATCTGCAAGTCACTGGAAGCTCAGTACTGCTTCCAGCAAATATGAAATGAACGGTTTATTGGCAGTAAATGAACCACATGAACTTTGGAGACCTTGGCAGATGGAAGTTTTTGATAAGACTCTTTTTTTTGAAGGTCCTGAAGTAGCAGAAGCCATTTGTTTAGACAATGGTGAGAATGATTGCTTATCAATTTACTTGTGCAAATTTTGAAGCTAATTCCCTCTCACATTGTATACACACAGACATCTTCTCAATTATTTGGGGTCAACTTAGGAATTCTCCTTCTCAATATGAGATGCAACTCTATTTTACATAAATTATTTTGCGCCCATTCTGATCGTGTATCTTCTAACCTACCCTTTGCCCTTCATAACTCAGCACTTTAATTTTGCCAATCCATCTTATTGATATTTTTCCTTCCCATCTTCTTTTCACTGTTACTCTTATCATCTCTATAATCCTTTCTCGATCTACATTTCATAAAGTTATCACGCATTCGTTGTACTGACTATTCATAATTTCTTTTTGTCGATTAATCATATCCATATAATTTCATAGGTCTAATTGCATTTTTATCATTTTTATGAAATTTACATATAAGGCATCAATACATTATCTTTTCAAACAATACTCCTAAAGAACTATTTCATTTTAACTAACTTGTTTAGCTTTAGAAGTACTGTCCTTAATCTATATAGCCTTCATATGCATAATCTAGATAACAGAAAATATCATACCTAACATAATGAGATCTTCAATAATATTGGCCAATTATTATTAATTATATGCACACCCGAATTATAAATAATATATTTTTTCTTTGTTCTATTAATTCTATGCTTCCATGATTATTCTAAGCATTCACCTTCTTGAGGTGTGTTGTCTATTTGAAATTCCATTTCAAGATCTCTCACCTTGAATATCTTTTGCACCCTTTTCCATTCCAAGATAAAATGCTCTTCATGCGATATATGAATGACATCATGTGGCTATCCTATTATGATTATGCACCCACTTCAAAGATATTTTTAATACCCTAATTTGAGTTCAAATGCCATGGCAGGATGGGATTTACAAGTTGCTCGTTTGCGACGAATGCAATTAGGGTTGCATTATCTCAAGTTTGACGAGATAAAAGAGTAAGATCATTATATTTCTTTTTTTGAATTTTTTTTCATTGATTCTATTTGTAAGACAGATGTTATTTATTTATATACGTTATATTTAGTTTTTAAGTGATGATCAAAAGCATTCATTGTGGTGAAATTGAAATTATCATCGTGAACTGAATGGTTCTCTTTTGAGGATGCATTGCAGATCTTTCATTTAGCAGCTTGTTTTTCATGAATAATAAATTTTAACTTTTTTGACGATCAGTGAGGCAATGAAAATGGAGATTATGGTAGGCTAGGATTATCTTGATTTGTTGAGAAAAGAATAATGTGGTGTAGAGAGAGAGAAATGTGGAGGTAAAAAGAAGAGATTAGTAAGAGAAGCTGAACATATGCCTTAAGGGGAGGAGGCAAAGGTAATGAAAAAATGAAAGAATTTTATGATTAAGTGAAAGTGAAAGGAGTTAACTTATTTATTGAGTGGATGGCAAAGCAAGGCCGCATCTTTATTCCATAATCAACCATTTAATTTGAACCCTTTCCTTATTGTATATAATAGTTGCTACAATCTTATTTATAATTTGATCTAATAACAAGTAGCAAAATGTCAAATGATGTCTTATGTAATACATTAAATAATACCATATAAATTGTTAAAATAATAACTCATGGCTAAGCGTTGAAGTTAGGGGTGTAAATGATTCGAGTCGAGTCGAGGAGTGGCATTATCGACCCGAACTTGTTTAGCTCATACGGAGCTCAAATTCGACTTGAGCTCGGCTCGATCTTTTGCATAATGAGCTGGAACTCGACTCGCTGTATAAAAATCAAGCTCTAGCCCGGCTCAAATATGCATAAATTTGACTTATAACCATTAAAAGCAAGATTAGCAAACAACATGGTAATAACAAAAAAATTAACTAGCAAATACATGGGTAGATGAAAACCAAACAAAACGAAGATCTTGGGAACAAAGAGAAGCTGATGCGGGCCACCGCCGACGCCGACCGGCAGAGGGAGGGCCGACTACCCCGTGGCGCGCGGAAGCAGTCAGAACGGGCGCCGCGCTGTTCGATCCGCCGAAGCAGGGACGCGGGAGGGGGACGCGGAGCGGGACGGGGCCGATCGGCTTGAGCGGAACCGGTCCATTTCTGGACTGGTTTGGTTCAGGTCTAGCCTGAGCTGGGCGGTTCAGTTTGGGCAGCCCACTAGTGGGTTTGGTTGGGTCTTTTGCTTGCTATAAGTAGGGATTAAGGGGGGATTTCTAGGGTTATGGAAGATTTGAGTTTTCTCTTAGCCTCCTTAGTTTCTTTCTCTTGTTTTTCTAGGGTTTGTAGTGGGAGACCTTGTCCTTCTCGAAGTGGACAAATTGTATCTTGTTTTCCCTTGGATTTTGAATGCAAAGGTTTTGGTTCAAAGCTTTATTATCAAAGTCCTAAGTTTAACATGTAGTTCATCTGGATGCGAACGCAATTGGAGTATTTTTGAACATGTAAGTATTTTACAATGTATGTGTTGATTTTTTATATATGTTCATAATATAGTAATGTAATAATATTTTAATTGCAGCTTCATAGCAAACGAAGAAGCAAATTGGATCATGGTCGCTTAAAGGATTTAGTTTATGTGAAATATAATAGAGCACTGATTCGGAGATTCAATCATCGTGATGTCATTGATCCTATTTCTTTGACTGAGATAGATGATGCAAATGAATGGCTAACAGGAAAATTAGATGATTAGTCTGATGAAGAAAATGACTTTATTGCTGGAGAGGAAGATTTAACTTGAACAAGTGTTGCTAAAGCTACTGGTGTTTATGATAAAAGCTATAATATTAGGGAAAGATCTAAAGGGAAAGAGAAAGAATCTTCAATTAGGCATGATGTTGCTATTGAGAATGATGATGAGGAGGGTGATGAAGAGGATTATGAAGTAGGAGACAATGTTGAAGAAGATAATGAAGCTTTTTTAACATTTGCTGATGATGATGATTCCCAAGAAGAGTAGATTAAATTCATATTTGATCTTTTTAAAAAATATTGTAATATTTGAATTATGAGATATTTGAATGTTACTTAGTCGAACTTATATATGTTATGGTTGTCTTTTATTATTATGATAGCTTGTCTTTCATTTTTAATAATATTTCATATTCATGCTTATTATTTTATATTTTTTATATAGCTTGCGCCATGTTCAAAATAGCGCGCGCCGCGCCGTGCGCTATGCGCCATGGCTCCAAATGGACCTTTGCGCCATGGTGCGCCATTCGCCGTTAACAGGTATGTTTGTGGTATGCTATCATTTTTGCACCATTCATTATGATCGATGCTCGCCAGCATTTGCATGATCTATGTATATGATATACATGTGCACTACTTCTTGCATGTTATTTCCCTTTATATTGTACTTGTGGATAGTTGGTTTTCTGCAGCAGCTCGTAGGAGTTTATATGCTTTTATCCCTCCGTTGCATTTGTTGCTCATCCCTTATGCTTCATTTGTGAGTATTTCTTCTAATTTTATTGTTTGCAAGGTTGGGTACTTTTGCTTGTACTTTGACATTGACAACCAAGCGTTATCACCTTTAACATCTGTCCTTAAGATTCATTGCGTGTTAGTCGTCGTCATTTGTGTAAATTTTATATGTATTCGTTTACGAATTAACTGCCGTCGATGGTAAGGAAATTAACTCCTTCACAACCTCCTTGTTTTGCTTGCATGGATGTTGCATTTGTCGTACGAAAATCTATTGGCAAATTATTATATTCATTGTATGGCACTTACCACCTCTAAACAATTCTTTATGCATAATTTGCTCTTTCATCGCGTCTTCAGTTAATTCATGATACGAGTGATAACATCAGGATTGTTGCTAATTGGCTTTTGCATTCTAATTGAAATAGTTTTCATGAATAAGCTATAGTGTTTATTAAGGAGTTTGCATTTGAGGTTCATAGGTAAGTCGCATTTGGAATTCTCTGCCTAGCACGAGTTCCACATTTATCAATTTGTGTTCAATTATTCACCAGTTGGTGAATTATGGATTCACTTTTATGCAATTATTTAAGTCCAATTTATTGTTTTAGGTTCTGTTCCTTGTGGTCCAAATTAAGTCTTCTGTCAATTATTCAAGTCAGGTCATTTATTTGTTATGAATTTCGGCAGCCTCTCGGTGTCTCCCCTGCTTAGGAGAAATTCCAGGAGTCATAGCCTTCTCCTCCACACTACATGAGCGTTTCAGGTAGGTGTCGGACAACACCGCGATCGCATTTCTTCAATATCTACCACGCTACGAGAGCGCTTAAGAGCTCAGGGTACCTATTTGAAAACACGCAATTTTATTCTCCCATCACGCTACGAGAGCGCTTAAGTGTACTTAGTTTCTTGTCATGCTACAAGAGCGCTTCGAGGCCTATCCGCCTCGTCGCAAGCGGCGCAGCGGGTTCCTTCCCACCGTGCAACGTGAGCACGTAGGGTGGTCTGCAGGCTCGTCTGCAGATGGGGTTTAACTTGAGAAATTATACCTTGGCTAGGATCGGCGACGACAGTGACTAAATTTGTGGGAATGCACAAATATGTTTTTTGTCATTTTCATTTTCATTTTTTTTAAACTTTTTTTTTTTAATTTTTTTTACAAAAACACGCGTGCGCGAGCACACACACAGGTATATATATATATATATATATATGAACAATAATAATAATGCAAATGATTGATTGTATTGGTTAATGAGAATAGTAATAATATTAATCACATCAACTAATAATAACAATTAATACTAATAACAAAATTAAGTGAAGAGCAGAGAACCTATTGTTTGGGTAGGTGAGCACTCCTATAGGGAATATCAGTGAGCACTGATTTTAATAAGCTGACGGGCTAGTGGGCTTTTTAATGATTGTTTGGTGGGCTGGTTTTTGGATGTTTTGACTGGTGCTCACATGAAAGCAAAAGAGAAAGGCCTGAGGGAGTGGCAGCTAGAGACAAGACTGCGGGTGGTGTATGATGTGAGCTGCCTTTGCTTGAGGAGGGAAAGGGATGGAATGAAGTGGAGGATCGGGTGCTTGATGCTTGCAGTAGAGCTAGATGTTGGCAAGGCCTTTTGATCACAATGAGTGGAGTTGTGTGGGATTGTGAGGCTCGACGGGTTGACGTAGAGGGTTTGGGGATGGAGGTCTGGTCGCTAGAGTTCGTCAAGAGTGAAGAGCAGGGGGTGAATCAGATAGGAGTAGAGAAATTCAGCTATGTGTGAGCAGCGGCTTGTTGGAGTTGGACGAGAGGTCGGAAGTGAGGAAGGGGAGTCGGTGTAGTTTGGCATTTGCGAACGGGACTGAGGGCTGGGCGTCAAGCTTGCTGTGGACTTTGATACATGGAGAAGAGACGGCTTATTGCGATTGTTTGAATGGATGCATATGAGAGGATGGATGAGTGAGATTGGACTGATTGTGGCTTGCGAACGAGTTGGAAGTGTCGAATATTGTAGTCGGATCGGAAGAAGATTGGGAGAAGAGAGCTGATGACCAGTGGGGATTTGTGGTTGCAGATGGACGGGGGTTTGAAAGCTCGTTAGCAATTAAGGAGGCAAGAAAATTATAAAAGAAAAAGCGAACGAGAGGCTTCATTTGATCCCATTTTAATGTCGAGAACGTATCATTCATTCGAGGTCCGTTGTAGGATATCCGGGAGGAGAGGTCTGAGGATTTCACGAGATTTCTTGGGATTTAGTAGAGGTCAGGTGCAGAATATACGAGGTATTTTGAATTGATTTTTTAATATTAAAATAATCATAATGTTAATATTTACCATTATTATTAAATTAAAGATGATATCAATGAGTCAAATTCCCGAAATGCCTCGATCCATACAAATTTCTCAATTTGCTTGCATGATCTTCATTAGGCGAATTGATAGTCAATTTTGGGTATTGACGATGTTCCCAACACAATGACAAAATTCATTTTGCAATCGGGCGTTGTTTGGGGAGCATCAGTTTCCTCGATTTGCGTGCGTTGCCTCGAGGC